CCCTATTAAAAATTCTGATCTACTCAGGTTACCTTAAAATCCTGTAGGGAGAAACCAGAAATATTCCCCTGATTTGTGTCTTTTGGTAACATGGGGACAAAAATGGATCACAGCAATCTCGGAAAAGCCAGTGACTTGTTACCATGGTCACTGCGTTCATGTTTTTCAAGACATTGCTAGAGCCACTTAGGCCTACAGAAGATAGATAATTTCTTTATTGAGGGACTTCTGATTTGAAGCTAGATATGGTTGCCTTGTTTCCGGCCAAACTGAAGAGAAAAAGATTTAGATTTTATCATTATTACGATGATCGTCAGCATTCATGTCAACTAAACCTCAAAAAAAAAAAAAGGAACAAAAGAGGGTAAAAATGTAGGAAGTCTAGGTTTATTAAGAGCGATTACATCTATATAACTAAGGTCTTCTCTTTTTTCCTTTAAGTCCTTCTAATTGACAAAGTAGGATAATTTCTGTAATTAAATCTACCAATAACTTATTTTGATATTGTGGCTTGTGGTCTAGACTTCACAATCACTTTGTAGCAAGAGAGCAGTTAAAGGTTCTGTCAGGACTTCCAAGTCTAACATCACACTTTTATACCTTTCTGAAGTGCTTTTCCTGTCATGATTGGTTTCAAAGTGATTTTTTTTTTTTTTTTTAAGAAACAGAAAAATTCTTTCACCTGCTTGAATTACTGAGGTACAAAAACAGATACTTCCCACAAGACTTTTTACTCATCAATAATACAAACTACTGTACAAAGATTCTCAAATTGTCATGCAACTAATTTAGAGTAGTCTCAATGATAGTAGATTTTCTGGGAAGTTTAGAAATTAGAACATTAAACAATGGAAAAAAATAATGTAATTTGGAGCATACTCAGTAAACATCTAAGATTTTAAGCAGACATTAAAATATAGTTTCTCTGCACAGCCTGAGAGGGCTGCTGCTGGACCTGTCCGCCGGAGAAAGATTGTAAAGTGTCTCATTGAAACACAGCTGCATCATCCAAGAGGTTCAAATTAGAGGTCCATTCCTGCAATCTTTTACTCAGACAAGACTCCCATTGGTTTAATTGGGAACTGTAACCAACTACAGTTGGGACTGCAGGACCAAGTACTAATTTCCTCTCTTCCTATTGCTGTCCCCATTACTCTCTCTGATGTGCTGTTACCCCTTTGACCCACCTTTACAAAAATGTCATCCTGCCCTCGCCTCAGTGAGGTGTGAACTTTAAAGCTGAATTGGAAGGAAAATATTCACATGCACAGGCAGTTTTGCTCTCTCCTTGGAAACTAAAGAGAAATCTTTGTCAATGCAATTTTAGTGTATACACAAAGAGTTAAAAAATGCATTAGTGAAGTTCCCATAATAGTAAAACAATTGCACACACTATATTAATGTATGCATTTAATAATCCAACTAGTCATCATAATTATGTGCAACTTGGACAAGTTAGTTACATTGTGAAAGCTAACATCTATATTCCCTGACTTTATGCTTAAGTGTGATCTTAACATGTGGTAGGTAGGAGATTTTGAATTTGATCTCTCACAGCTGTACTGCTTGGCCTTCAATACATTTAAGTTTTAGCACTCCCATCCACTTGAGTAATTTTTATTTTTTTTTGCTACCCCATGGTCATTAGGCAAGTAAAAACCCAGTCCAAGTCACAACTGAACAAACTTTATAACCAGTTACTGGCATAGTTAACTCTAAACACAAGATGCATTTGCACAACACATGGTTAAAAATGTTTAGTTGCCTTGTTACTGGATTTTGCCTCTGTCAGAGAGCTAGGCTGGCACATGATTGCCTTCCTGTATCCAGTTCAGCATGTGTTTAGGTTTTCTACAGAATGGACAAGACTCCTAAATGTGCCAGTTTGGCCAGTCATCTTTCCTCTCAGCTCCATGTATAGTAGGACATTTCAAAGTGCATAACCAGTCTTCCTGCGACTGGCTCTGCTCTCTGGGTACCTCCCTGAGCACCTTAACTCCTGTTGAGGCAACATAGGACAGCTGTCCAGATTTTCCCAAAGTGCACCAATAGAAACCCAGATAGGCAGACTGGTAACTGCAGGTGCACTAACTCAGTTGTTGAGTAGCAGCCGTGTTAGTCTGTATCCGCAAAAAGAAGAACAGGAGGACTTGTGGCACCTTAGAGACTAACAAATTTATTAGAGCATAAGCTTTCGTGGACTACAGCCCACGGATATATGCATATGCATCCGAAGAAGTGGGCTGTAGTCCACGAAAGCTTATGCTCTAATAAATTTGTTAGTCTCTAAGGTGCCACAAGTCCTCCTGTTCTTCTTTTAACTCAGTTGTGACAGTAAAGCTGCTGTATAAATACAAGCTGAATCGTGTTACTTGTAACTGGTCAGGTGACCATCCTCCAACTGGTTATGGTATGAGTTAGAAATTGTGAGATTAGATGAAGGGTTCTCCTAGCCCTCTTAGTAGGATTTATCCCTCTGCATTTTATACCGTGGATGATGTCATAAATTTTGTATCTTTATGGCACTGAGCACAAGTTATCTTTTGGGGATTGATGTGTTGGGATTCTTGGGGATAGGGTAGGGAAGAGGAAGTAGCGTCAAAGTAAAGTGTGGTTCTACTCTAAGTATGGACTTGTGGGGTAACATTTATCTCAACTACAACAGGTATCTTACCCAGTTTACAAGAAGGAACAGTATAACTGCAAGCCTTGCAAACTCAGCCATAGAGCCCACAGTCAAGGTTTGGTTTTTTGACTGACTTCAACAATAAAGATTCTGCAACTTAAACTTAATTAACAATTTAACTGATGATAGTCAAGAAAACTAAGACTCCAATTTGCTCTATCAGATTTAAGTTGGCTCTGCAACACTAAGAGTAGTAAAAACATATTTTACTCAATAAAGTGAGCAGATATTACTAAATACACACAGAACAGATCTAGCGTCCGACTGCTGGGTCTTGCCCACATGCTTAGGGTCTAACTGATTGCCATATTTGGGGTTGGGAAGGAATTTTCATCCAGATCATATTGGCAGAGACCCTGGGGGGTTTTCACCTTCCTCTGCAGCATAAGGCACGGGTCACTTGCAGGTTTAAACTAGTGTAAATGGTAGATTCTCTGTAACTTGAAGCTTTTAAATCATGATTTGAGGACTTCAGTAACTCAGCCAGAGGTCACAGGTCTATTACAGGAGCGGGTGGGCAAGGTTCTGTGGCCTGCAATGTGCAAGAGGTCAGACTACATAATCATGATGGTCCCCCTCTTACCTCAAAGTGTACAAGTATATGTTTTTCCAATGATTAGTTACCCTCAATGTTACAAATTTACACCTTATTTCCAGTCTGAATTTGTCTAGCTTCAATCTCCAGCCATTGGATCACATTTACCTTTCTCTGCTAGACTGAAGAGCCCATTACCAAATATTTGTTCCCCATGCAGGTACTTCTAGACTGTAATCAAGTCACCCCTTAAACTTCTCTTCATCAAGCTAAATAGATTGAGCTCCTTGAGTCTCTCACTACAAGGCAGGTTTTCTAATCCTTTAATCATTCCGGTGGCTCTTCTCTGAACCTTCTCTAATTTAGCAACATCCTTCTTGAATTGTGGACAGCAGAATTGGACACAGTATTCTAGCAGCAGTCAAACCAGTGCCAAATATAGAGGCCCAATAACCTCTTTACTCCTACTCAAGATTTCCATTCATGCATCCCGGTATCACATTAGTCCATTTGGCCACAGAATCACGCCAGGAGCTTGTGTTAAGCTGATTAACCACCTCCACCCCCAAATCTTTTTCAAAGTGTTTGCTCCCCAGGATAGAGTCCCCTATCCTTTAAGTATGAGGTACATGCTTTGCTCCTCGATTAATACATTTGCATTTAGCTGGATTAAAACAGTTTGCTTAAACTCATCTTACTAAGCACTCTAGAGCTCTCTGTATCAGCTGCCTGTCCTCTTCATTATTTACCACTCACCCAATTTTTGGATCATCTGTAAACTTTATCAGTGACAATTTTGGTTTTCTCACAAATAGTATAAGGATTGCTTCTTGGCCTTGTGGGAGCCCTTTTGAAACACTCCTGCTCAATGATTCCCCATTTACATTTTGAAATCTATCAAGTAGCTAGTTTTTAATCCATTTAAAGCGTGCCATGTTAATTTTCTATGCTTCTAGTTTTCAAAGTTTCCATGTGAAAACTGCCTGCAAACTCTGAAGGGTGAAAAACACAATGCCACAAGCATTCATTTACAATCAGATACTACAACTGCCAGTTTTGATGAACTGTTTAAAATATAGACTGATTCTTGCCTGCATATTTATATCTGCCTCTGGAAATTTCCACTACGTGCATCTGACATCTGTTAGTCTATAAGGTGCCACAGGACTCTTCGTCGCTTTGTTTAGAATATAAGTGCTAGGTCTACTAAGAGCCACTTGAAAAGACACATATATTTGGCTTTTCAAGTAGCATTGCAGCATATAGCATGTCACACAATGGGATCCTGGTTTATGAATAAGAACGTAAAAATGGGCATATTGGTTCAGACCAATGGTCCATCTAGCCCATTATCCTGTCTTCCAACAGTGGACAATGTCAGATCCTTCAAAGAGAAAGAACAGGGTAATTATCGAATGATCCATCCCCCGTCGACTAGTCCAGTCTGGCAGTCAGATGGTTAGGGACACTTGGAGCATGGGGCTACATCCTTGACCATCTTGGCTAACAGCTAGTGATGGACCTATCCCCCATGAATTTAATTCTTTTGTTGAACCCAGTTATAATTTTGGCCTTCACAACATCCCCCAGCAACAAGTTCCACAAGTTGATGGTGCATTGTATGAAGTAGTAACAGGGTTCCTAGGTGCTACATAATACAAATAAAAAAAAATAACACAATATGTTCCAAGATCTTATTACATTTATTCATTAGAGACTAAACATCCACTTCATTGTCTAACTGTTTGCTGTTTAACTGCTATATTTCACTGCTCTTACCAGATTTTAAACCAGAAATTTTGAAGATGGCACTTGGCTTCTCATTGGTGACAAATCCCAGGAGTTGCCATACTGCCATCCCACTCTGGTCAGGAAAGCAGAAGTAGACAGATCCTCCCATGCCCTCTGGAAATGGGATAGTTCCCAGCATAAAGACCACCACATGGTTGATGTTTTCATAGTCAGGCAAGTCAAATACAAACTTATCCTGGGCCACCTGTTGTGCCACTGCTTGCACCTAGAATATAAAACCAAGTTTTAGTTTAGAAATCTTAATTCTGAAACTTGTGAGCCCTCTTTTCAGAAATCCATCTAGTGTTTGAAAGAAGGGGAAGTGAGGCACATGCCAGTCCTAGTTTGTAAACAGAGTGGCAAACACAACCGCATGGGAACTGTGCAATAGGCTGCTAACAAGGATTCACAGTCCTTGTTTTAGCTACAGAGGCTTTAGATCACACCTAGGGCTGGAGTATCAGAGTACCTTAGCCCCCAATGTGAATAGTGGTAAAATATGGTGCAGAAGAAGTCCCCAAGTCTATAAAGTAGTGGCTGTCAACCACATGGCTAGCAGAATCCTAATCACGGAAACCTCTAAGAAATAAGACATGACTTTATACACTTAGTTCAAGGATGGCTGAAGGTCAGGGCACAGAGCCACCCTTGTCTTTATTACTGACTCCATGTACATGACACATCACTGCATACATCTTGATATAGGTAGCTCCTACTCGGAGCAAATGCTTGGCCCTATCTATCGCCTCCCATATGCCCAAAAATCGATATTACCAAACATGGCTGCAGACTGCTGCAACTTGGGGCAATCTACTGGCAAGGTGACATTACCCACCCCTTAGCCAATAAAATTTGGGTGCCACCCTGTATGAGTGGAAGGAAGGCACACTGGGATGGGGTCTGCACAGAACTTGAACATCTGGAGAGGGAGGAAGACACAGTGACACATTTCATTTATATGGGAGCTGCTCCCAAAAAGCAACAATGGGAAATAAAAATCAGAGCCACCCCAGCTGGGAACCTGCCCTCCACAGTATGGCCCTTCCCAAACTTCCTCACAACCAATGCTATCACCAGGCATAGCCCACACCCCAAGAGACATCCCCCTCCCTAAACTTAGCCCCACACACTCCTCAGGATCCTCCCCCAGAAACACCCTCCACAGGTTGAGCCCCCAACTTCCCCACAGGATCCTCCCCCTAACACTCACCCCCACTCAATAGGCTGAGCCCCACCCCCCACCACTCCTCAAGATCCTCCCCCAGAGACACCCCTTACTCCATAGCCTGAGCCCCCCACTCCCGTCCTCTCCCAGAAACACTCCCACCCACAGGACCCTCCCGAGATCGCTCCCCTGAACCCCACCCCCAGCGGCTGGAGCCGCCTCCCTCAGGCGCCCTCCAGGCCAGGCTGCCCCAGAACGGTACGAGGCCTCCCGCACAGCCTCTCCGGCCACCTCCCAAAGGCCCCTCTCCATGAGCCCCTCCCCCACCCTAGTCTCTCCAGAGGCTCCACCCAGCCCGCCAAGGCCCCGCCCCTCCGGAAGCGCCGCCCTGCCAAGCCCCGGGGAACCGCTCACCAGCCTACCCGCCACCAAACAGCCGAACATGGCGGCAGCCACAGAGCCCTACAGCCGCAGAAGCTTCGCGAAACAGCCGACCACTCCGCAGCCTACATAATGCCTGGTCCCCCCGGAAACAGCCCCTGCCTGTGACCCCTGGTTACGGAACTACTTCCGGGGAAGGGGCGGGGCTTCGTCTAGGCTCGTCGAGGCCTACACATCCCAGTATGCACCGCGCTACCGGAGCTGCATCCCGGGACCTGTAGTCCCAGGCTGCGCCGCGGGTGGATAGGGAAGTGCATGCTGGGACGTGTAGTCTGTCACCTAACGCCCCCGCTCCGATAGCTGTGGAGCAATGCATGCTGGGATATGTATTGTCAGTCTGGGTCCTACTGGGTTCTAAATTAGAGCGTGCTAGAGACTCTGATTTTATGGGGGTGAGACCGGGTGGTGCATGCTGCATTCTGGATTTGTATCTAGCTGCCAAGAAGGTCCTTCAGAGAAGATTGTAGGTAGCCCTGTCCTAAGGGTTTCTCTACAGTGGATGACTGGTACCCAGGTACCCTGACATACAAGAGCAAAGCACCATACCACATTGTGATCATGTGGGCAGGTTGCAAGGACACAAATTCGCATATTGCATCTATTCATCAAGATGATGCAACAGCTTCTGGGGGCCCTGTACTGCCCTAAACGTGTTTCAGAAGCCATTAAATTTGCACAGGCTTCGCTAGCAAGAGCCACATGGAATAACAAATACACATGCAAACTAGAGCATGTGAAGCACAGTTCTCCAGCACTTTATCTTCATCTCTTGCAATTCCTTCAACATGCTCTCTCCTGGCGCCTAAAACTAGTATTTGTGAAGGCACAAGAAGCAGCTATAAATAAGCCATAAAATGACTTGCCTGTCGTGTGACTTTGCTTATTTTCTCCACTTGAGGATGTGAGCTAAGTCTCTCTCAAGTGGGGCTGGACCTATCATCCCTTAAAGAGCCAATGACCTTATAACAGGTAGTATCCCCATTTTACAGAATCATAAATAAGACTAGAAGGGGCTATAGTAGTGCTCTAAACTGACCTCCTGTATAACACAGGCCACAGGACTTCCCTGAATTAATTCCTGTTTGAACTAAAGCATCTTAGAAAAACATCCACTCTTGATTTAAAAATTGCCAGAGATGGAGAATACACCATGACCCTTTGTAAATTGTTCCAATGGTTAATTACCCTCACTGTTAAAAATCTGCAAGTCCAGAATTTCTCTAGCTTCAACTTCCAGCCATTTAATCTTATTCTACATTTGTCTGCTGGATTGAACAACCCATTATCAATTTTTTTTGCTCACTATGGTAATTATAGACCAGTGGTTCTCCAACTTTTGTGCTGGTAACCCCTTCCATATAGCAAGCCTCTGAGTGTGATCCCCCTTAAATATATAAAAAGGTGTTTTTAATTTTGAACACTATTATAAATACTGGAGGCAAAGCAGAGTTTGGGGTGGATGCTAACAACTGATGACGCTCATGTAATAACCTCGCAAGCCCCTGAGGCATTGCAACCCCCAGTTTGAGAGAACGCCTGTTATAGACTTATCAAATCACCCCATAACCTTCACTTTGTTATCCTCAGAGAGGAGTGGAAGCACAGATATTAAGATCAAAATTGTCCACTAATTTAGGGTGCCCCTTACAAGAGGCCTAGGACCTGATTTTTCAGAGTACCATCTCACCGGGCTCTTTATCCCATCTGTTCTACTCCTTTCCCGCCCCACAGTCCAGCTCTTGTTTCTTCTGCTTGAGCTAGGCAGCTTCTTCCTCTTCAGTGCTTGGATGCCAAAAAGGGAGGGGGGTGTTATTGAGAGCACAGGAGACAGGTTCCATGCTCTTAGCTGGTGCCCAGCCCGGACCACTAATTATAGGGAAAGTTCATCTTCACCCCTGTAACCCTTGGCTAGAATATGTTCAGTGGGGATAGCATATGTGTACTTTGGGCAGCATTACCAGCTGCAAGTGTTGGCTGGACAGAATCTTTGGAGATTATAGCTATGGCCCTACCAAATTTACAGCTGTGAAAAACACATCCTGGACCGACTGTGAATGTGGTCTTTTTTATACTTTTACCTTATACTATACTCTTTTATACTGTAGGGTAAACATAGATACAAGTACACAGTGTTTCTCGGACTGGAGGACTCAAGCCTATTGAAAAGGGGTCACAGTATTGCCACTCTTACTTCTGTGCTGCCTTCAGAGCAGGGTGGCTGGAGAGCGGCAGCTGGTGGGAATGGCTGGGAATTCAGCTCTGAATCCTGCACTGCTCCTGGTAGCAGTGCTGCCTTCATAGCTCAGCAGCCATTGTGCTCCAGCTACCTAGTTTTGAAGTCAGCACTGAAGTAATGGTGGCAATACTATAACTCCCCCCTCCCCACACAAACACACAGACGCAAGCTTTGCAACCCCCTTTTGGGTAGGACCACAGTTTGAGAAATGCTGACTTAAGGGCTTTATATGTTTGTATTTTGCAATTTTTCAATAAATATTCATGCTTTGTTACAATTCTGAAATTTTAGATTTAAATATCTACAATTGTGAAATTCAAGATTTTTTTAAAATACTAACTATGACATTTATGAAAATGGACTGTGAATTTGGTAGGGCCTAATTATAGCTAGTGAAATCTAAGAAGCTTATGGTGAGCAAGTATGAACTGAGATTTTTCAAAGGCTTGCAAATTGGGGCAGATTTGGGGGGCGGAGGGGGGATAACAAGAGGCACTTCCCTGACACACATTTCAAGTTCCTGCTCCAAAGCACAGGGGCTAGAGACGTTCAAAAAGCCACTAGAATTTAACATGGACAAAACATGTATTTCCATAGCCTCATTCTTGGAAATGGCTGAACGGTTTTGACTGAAATTGAAAAAAGAAAAACTCACCCTGGGGAAAGCATCCGACATGGAAAATTTCATCCCAAACAGTATAAGTCCAAGCAACTGAAAAGTCTTATAATGGGAAGAGTTGGGCTACCTTAATTGTAGGCGCTTCTACTGACCATACTTATAATTAAGGCTACAGAATCCAGCGGGGGGGCTGGAGCTGTCAGCTACAGGAACCCTGCAGCTGCCAGCCCGGGAGCTCTAGGCTGTAGCGGGCCCCCCACACACACACACACAGCTTCCAGCCCCCGCAGGCAGTAGGGAGCCTGCCAGGTGCCTGCCCGGAGCTCCAAGCCGCCAGAGCTGAGCCACAGCAGGAGCCCATGTAGGTCCAAGATGCCACAGGTGGTCCCCTGAGCTCCCAGTCATTGCGGGCAGCAAGTGGCCCCCAGAGCTCCCAGCCACACCGGCAGGAGGACCCCAGTGCGCCGAGAGTAAACAAGGAGACCAAGTGTGGCCAACCTATAAGTGGGTGCACAAAGTGTGGGTGCAGTGGAGCAAAGGCTACAAGAACTTTCACAACTTACAGCCGCTTCGAATGGGGTACATTTGTAAAACTTGCAGTCTCCTGAAACAACTTCCTCCTTGGCCCACAAACCATCCTATGAGCGGCAGAGAAAGGTAGGGAGGAAGAGGGGCCATGACCCTACCTATCCCACTTCCAGCAAACCCAGAGACAAGATGAGAGACAGTGAATTATGCACTTTGGCAAAGAGATGAACACTGAATTAAAGGTGGCTTGAAAAGGGTAGGGAAAGAGAGGGAAGAACATAATTATGCTCTTATAAAAGCAGCCTGAGAGGAGGATTTTGAAAGCACTGTGCTTTATACCTTATTAGATACAAGAGGAAGATGAAGCCATGTGTGTTGGTGGGGGAGAGAGTGTTTTGTTTTTTGCTAGCAGACTCAATGAGAGTGGGAGCTCTCAATGTACCGTAGTGGTTTAACCTTTCATGGAGCTCTTCTCTCAAGTATTTGTTAAGTTTGTTATAAATCTTAGAAAGTTTGACTAAAAATCTCTTCCCCTTTGAATGGTTTGAACCCCTTTATAACTGGGGATTTGCCCTACTGTGCAGCCAAGGGTTCCACTGCAGTGGCTAATAAGGCTGGGGATAGGGCCACCCTTGCTGTTTCAGGGTTTTTGCCAAGATTTTCCTGGCTTGTGCCATCGTTCTGTGACTTTTCACAGCATTAACCATGACATCTCACGGTGACAGTAACATATATAAAGCAGAGAAGATGAAGGATTATTTCCTTAGATCTGTCTAATCCCCTCCCTCACTTTGAGCTGAAACGCATAGTGCAAGAGGGATGAATCGACTAGTTTGCTGGGCATGTCAAAAATTAAAAGCAGCAAAATACAGTACAAAACAGTCAGATGGTCTAGAACAGGGGTTCTCAAACTTCATTGCATCGTGACTCCTTTCTGATAACAAAAATTACTATGTGACCCCAGGAGGGGGGACAGAAGCCTGAGCCTAACCAAGCAAGGGGGGCTAAAGCCCGAGCTCCACCACCCCGGGTGGGCAAGCCAGACAAAGCTGAAGCCCAAGGGCTTCAGCCCTGGCCGGGGGGCCTGTAACCTGAGCCCTGCCACCCAGGACTGAAAATCTTGGGCTTCAGCCCTGGGCGATGGGGCTTGGGCTTTGACCCCAGGCCCCAGCAAGTCTAACACTAGCCCTGGCGACCCCATTAAAATGGGGTCCCAACCCACAGTTTGAGAACCGCTGGTCTAGAACCCAGGCAACTTCAGTAGAGATGCTCAGGCAGACTTACGTGGGAAGTATAGTTTCTCCAATTCCAGCGACGCTTTATGTCCAAACAAGTAGTATTTTTTAAAACTCAGAATCTCACGTACTGAACACTTACGAGCTGCCTTTCAGCTTTAGTTCTATTCTTCCTGAGAGCCTGCAGATATTAGAAGACATCACTAAGCAAATTCTAACATGAGTGTTGGTCATATTACTCCCTAACTGGACAGGTGATCCTGTGAAAGTGAAACATTTACAATCTCGCAGGATTAGTTAAGAAATAGCTGAAGTGGCTTTTTCTAACAGGAAGAGCCAGACATGCCTCAAATTGGTGCTGTGGAGGACAACCTTTGAGCCAGCTCTACAGACCAAAAAAAAGAGCACCCGATGCATTATTAGGGATGGCGTGTTTGTTTCTATATTACCATAGTACATTATTCCTGGGTTGTGCATGTTTATAGAGTCAGAAGAGGGCAAGTGAAAAGAATGGAGATAAATTGGTTCCAGACAGCAAATTCTGATTTATATATTTATTTAAAATAGTCAGATGACTATTTTGCATTTTCTTAGATCACTTGCACACTACTGGATTTGGAACTATACAGTGACAAAAACAGACCACACAAATGTGTTTTGCCAAAAGGTTAGACACTTCATTAGCAGTAATATTTTGTTCTAGTTTCTCTCCTCATTCTTGATTAACTGTACACATTTTAAGTTCTAATAAAAATATTAAAAATAGTAACAAGAATCATTATATAGTTTATTTGCTCTTACAACTAAACCTTTGACGAGACACCATAGAAGACCCAAAATTTAGGTTGTATTTGGGAAAAGGAATGTTTTATAAACCTAAATACCCTATTTTAAAGTGTCAGTAACAACTGCTAGGATTAAAGTATTCCCCTACAGCAGTTAAAATCTGAACATTACAGCACTGAGCTAGTAAATAAGAATCAGGAAGCCAGAATGGCTTATCTTATTTTTCCACTATCCAACATTAAAATGCAAAAAGTAAACAAACATACATAGTATTTTGCCATTTATGCTAAGGGGTGAAAAGCACATTTGGGTTTTAAAATTCCTTCAGTTTTAATAATAATACTCTACAGTGACAGTAACGTAGGAAGAGGAACAGATGCAAAATATTTTTAGCACAGCCACATTTCTCTTATATTATACTTTAAGGAACTTGTTATACAGATGAACATAATTTAAATTATTGTGAACCCTAAGAAATATTTCTGTAGCTACATTACGCTCCTTTTTTTAAAAATCATATAAAACACATTTATTTTTTTTAAAAAAAGCACACATGGAAGACTGCAATCTCACGTATACTCAATTCCTACCACACAGCTAACATGCATGTGATATGTACCAGCTATACACAATGTAAAACAACATTACAGGTCACAGTGAAATCATGAAATTCATTTTGGTTAAATAATTGAAGTGGACAATGCATAAAGCTTTACAAAAATATTTTTTATTAATGAAAGCACCAGAGTCTGAGCAGGACAACAGTACAAAGAATGTAAACATCACTAAGTTCAGCTCCGGCCAACTGAACAGTGGGAAAAACTATTCTAAACGCAACTACAGTAGAAGCTAGTTAACAGGTTACACTGTAAACCAATGTATTTTCTACTTTTAATTAAAAAAAAGTAATTTATCGTTGTCGGTCCCAGCGCCAGATACTGGCATCATCACAAACAGCTATAAGGATACTGCTATCCCTGCTAAAACTGGTTTGTCGAATGGCAGCAGCACATTTAGGATGGGTAAGTGTCGTACATCTACAAATAAAGAAATAATTTAGTTGCAATGTTAAGTCTGCATTTGCTATTACACTTGTGAGTAAGGGCTTTGCTGGATCAGAACTTTAACATGTTATCTGACTGACGCCAGTGGAACCCCATTCACAAAGGAAAGGTTGGCAAGGCTGGGCCCTTAGTGTATTCTGTACTCCTCGTTTAGCCGTTGGAACCCACAGGAAATTAATTCTCTCTCATTGCAATTTCTTCCTCCACCCAAGGTCAATTTTCATAAAGCTCTACTGAAAGTGGATCATCTTAGGTAGGTTATTGTAATAACCATACGTAATTTTTACTTAGGAATACAGTATTGTAATTGGGTGATGAAAGATAGCAAGATCTCCAGGAAGACCTCATATACGACTCTTCAGTAGGTCACCTGGCCAGGCACAGGTGGTCAACTGAAAAGTCATATGCACGTAGCTAGCCTATAAAACTATATTTCTATTACTATTACCCTAGTCCTTTCCCCTCCCCCTTCCATTGTGCGCCACACCCACCTGGTAAGTCTCCTCTCAATTACTTTGTAAACTTTCCTCCTAATTACTCTGTAAGCTCTTCGAGGCACGGACTTTCTTTTACTGTATCTACGTACAGTGCCCAGCACAATGCGGCCCCAACCCGACTGGGGCCTCTGGGCGCTACTGTAATACAAATAATAATGTTAACTTTACAGGGTCAAAATGCTCATTCACTGTAAAAGTTAGAATTGAAGGTGTGGCTACCACCACTCAAGAGTTTGTGTTATGGGTAAAGTAAAAAGGAAAGTGCCCTACCACCATTGAAGAGTATGAGTCGTGTAAAGAAGACAAGTGCCCCAACTCCATGTCTCAGTATCATAAAGGAATCTAGGGGAGTTTAGAAACTTATATATACTCACTTAGCCTTATGAGGATCTTCTATTTCCAAATCCCAAACATAAAGTTTGCCAACTTGATTGCCCAATGCAAGCATCTTTAAACAAGAGAATATAGATACTTTAAAATATGGTATCAAAGAACGGAAGCCAGACTTCATAAAGCCTGTAGGACTGATAACACACTAACACACACACACACACACACACACACACACACACACAGCACTTCACATACTCAAATCACTATAAAGCCAATGATCCACACTATACTCATGTCTCTTATGTATTTGCCTCAGTTTCCTCATCAGTTAAATGGAGATAAAAGATTGAATAATCTTTCCCCAATATCACCAATGGAGAGTCAGGATTGAAGTCTAGCAGTCCTGACTGCCAATACTAAGCTCCTTGCTCCAGACCATGTTGCCTCCCATCACATCAGCTCATGCAAGCTGAAAACTTTTCTTCATATACCATTAAGGCATCTAAATATGTAACCGGGGAAGAGTTTCAGTTTCCGAAACTGGGATCTTCTTCAAATACAGCAAAAAGTGCAAAGCTCACTCTTACCTTTTGCCAGAAGTCCATTGAAAACCTCATATACCAGATATCGCACTGACTGTAATCAAATCGCCCCAGTATAGTCACATTTGACTCACTGGGCTTGATTTTATCTATATCATCCTCCATTTTGCCAGGTTTCCAGCACACAATAGCATTTTCACAAGACTATGGGAAGAGTAAGAAAAAAATCACTTACTTGGGGGGGGGAAAAAACAAAAAAAAACCAAACACCACCCATGCTTTTTTCAACTATAAATTTGATAGATAACTTCTTGTACAATTACCCTCAAGTACATAAAAAAGAAGAAAAAGAATCAAGGATGTCACTTGGAATCTTAAGGCTTGTCTACACTGGCACTTTACAGAGCTGCAACTTTCTTGCTCGGGGGTGTGAAAAAACACCCCCTTGAGCGCTGCAAGTTTCAGCGCTGTCAGTATACACAGTGCACCAGCGCTAGGAGCCGCGTTCCCAGCGCTGGGAGCTACGCCCCTCGTGGAGGTGATTTTTTTAGAGCGCTGGGAGAACTTTACCGTTGCCAGTGAAGACGTGCCCTTAGTTATTTATCCACAGATCTTATACCATGCAGTCCAAACAGAGCCAGCTCACCCCAAGCTACTTGCCAATGATCTTTAATTGCCAAAGAAGTGAGAGCGAAGTGCACTTGGACAATTCAAACACAAAAGGGAGGTTTAGTTCTGTCTCCATGCAAATTTGAAGAATTTTAGTAATGTTCCAAACATGTTTCTTGCTAGAAATGAGCTAAGTCTCAGAGTAGATAGGGTCTTAGCCCAATATTTGCAGAGCAAACATTATCAATGTTTCAACACAAGTCAAAATCATTCCATGATGTAGACTTTCCAATTTAGTGCACCTATTTCATTTCTCCTTTTTGTTGCAAGATCTATGTGAACTCCCAGAAATGAACAGTCTTGCTTTTTTCTCTAATGAACATTCCACCCGAATCCTGGCTTTTCAGTTCGGATATACTTTTATTAGAGCTTTGATTGCTAGAAGAATTTATATAGATTTTTAATGTAAGATGCTTATATACCCAAACCCAATTAGTTAAACTCACAATCTACTTAGAAAAAAAATCACCCTGCATTGCACAGTAAGTTAATTTTCCGGCCAATAAATCAAAGCAGCAGAAAAACACCCCATTCTACTCCACTCTCACCCAAAAACTATTGTTTAAGGCCCTGAATGTAAGCAAATAACCTTGAACAATATGGCTAAACAGCAGACACTTTACCTTGGAAAGTATTAGATCTCCTAACCATCGTACACAGTCAACATAGTTCCTATGTATATCTCTGGTGGAAAAGTCAGGAAAGTGAATTTTCTGAGAAATAAAAGGCCTGTGGGAAAAAAAAGTCAGTCATATCAAGAAGGGCAAAAAGAGGCACTTGGGAAAAAAAAATTTCACACACTAAAATGTTAATTTATAACTGTCAGTAGAACCTTTTCTACTGTGTCTAATAATTTGAGGCATACATTTCAGAAACTTATCTGTAAGGTAAATACAACAAGACTATCATCAGTGAATTATTTGAGGTCCCAATATATGTGTGCGGAGGTGAGAGGGGAGAGAAAGGGCTGGAGGCACTGGAAAGACAATATGTTAGCTCTAAAGGAATTCAGCAATCCCTTTGTCAAACACTTCAAATCGTGTTAAAACATAAGCAACTTCTGGGATTCCTTCAGCCCCCAACACTCTTCAAGCAAAATCTAAAATGTTTTGACAAGGTATGTGTAAGAACACACTAAGGATCTTGTTTTGTCTGAAGTGCCATTTAAGATTTGGTAACATTAAGAAGAAGGCACACTTCTAATATTAGTCCCATTGTAAAATGTGTTTAGTATGTTTTAGATCCTTCTCATTTTATTTCACAAATTGGAGGCTACTCAACACTAGGATTAGTACAAACAGGTAATTGCATGAGTTAGTTTCTCTTAATATTAAGGACAAATTTTGCTAGTAGTGTAACTGAAGGGTAACTGTCTATTCAAATCAACATATTTCTGAGAGATTGGATCACTGGAGGATTGAAAATTTCAAGTGTCATTCCAACTGTGTAAGCATTTTTGCCCTATATCCCCCAAATAAATTACTGATTACAATAATTTGTATTATTTTCACTTTCAGAATTTAAAGGAACTATTTACTACAATCTAGTCAATTATTCTGATGTGTATTTGTTACCCTACTATAAAACTTCGAGGGGACAGGGAAGGCTGCTGATATATATTTATATCAGGGGTAGGCAACCTATGGCACGCGTGCCGAAGGCAGCACGCGAGCTGATTTTCAGTGGCACTCACACTGCCCAGGTCCTGGCCACCCGTCTGGGGGCTCTACATTTTAATTTAATTTTAAACGAAGCTTTTTAAACATTTTAAAAACCTTATTTACTTTACATACATACAATAGTTTAGTTATATATTACAGTCTTCTAGAAAGAGACCTTCTAAAAATATTCAAATGTATTACTGGCACGCGAAACCTTAAATTAGAGTGAATAAATGAAGACTCGGCACACCACTTCTGAAAGGTTGCCGACCCGATTTATATAGATGCTTCAGAAATTAGAACTGTATTAAAATACCAATTCCAAACACCTTATAGTTACGCATAAATGGAAGAAGTCAGACTATTTAAATAAGTGTCAGGACCTGTAATTAAACAGAACTCTATTGGCACCACATATCAGTAAGAGAAGCCTTCTTCTAGAGCAATTTAGGGACTGACAATTCCCAAGTCAATGGAAAAACTCCCTCATTACAGCGGGAGCTGATATGTGCCATTGCTGAGAAGATTCGGATTTAGTAGATATATCCAAGAATAGATATCAAGATTGTGTTTACCTGTTGGTTTTATTTGGATTGTACTCATAAGACTCCTTAATGGCATTCATCATTCTCTTTGAATTGATTCTCCAGAGTTTCAGAGAGTGATCCATACCACAGGACATTATTTTCTCACCAAGAAGGTCATAATCCTACACAAAAAGAGTCCGCTTTAAGCTCTCAATGTTAAGTTTCAGCATACTAACTCACTGATTCTATTTTCTTCTTTATTTACACTAGATGCATAATACGTTTAAGTCATATTTTCAGTCTAGAGAGCAAGCTAAATAAGCATATTTTAAAATAGAAAAGTATTAAATATAATTTAAGCCTGCTTCCTGTAAAAGATATCATATCTTGGCACGCCTATTTTACTCTCTTGAATGCAAAAACAAGAGAACATTCAATGAAGCTGAAAGACAACAAATTGAAGACTAGTTTTCCCCAAAATAGAACCTGTGGAATTCACTGCCGCATGATTTAAGTGAGGCAAAGACTATAATAGAATTTAGAAAAGGATTGGACACAAATGAGGGCCATCCACCATTACAATATACAGAACAAAAAATGATTTTAAGAGGATATAAACCCTTATACGTCACAGCATAAGCCAGCAAGTGGCATGGGTTAAGAAAATGTTTTTATATGGGTAGGTTATTCCTTAATTGTCCACTGCGTGGTTTCTTGCATCTTCTTCTGAAGTATCTAGTATTGGCCAATATCAGCAACATTTCTGGGCTAGAAGAACCGCTTATCTGATTCATTATGGTAATACGGATGTTTCTATGTGAAAAACGACCAAAGACAAATGATTGTTTCTAGCACAAATATTCTATCTAGATATTTGTTACATACCAATAACATTTGAATATCTGTACATAAACAGAGCCATAAGTAAGCAGACATAACAAAGTTAAGTCACTGTTTCCTTTATTAATGTAAGGCTTTTCCTTCCTTATGCATTCCTCTCCCTTCATATTTTTTATTGCTTTCCTTTGTTTTGTGTGTACAATTTGACTAAGAAATATATGAGGACAGGGCAGTACTGAAAGCTCATCTTACATGTAAACCATGTTGAATGTGAAATTTGTGTCAAGTCCTTAATTACTAAAGAAATAGTACTGAAATAATAGTATACTACTGTAGGCCAAAACAAGAATTGTGGTAAGTGTGACTATATTCTCTTGTGGATGAAAGCACCAGGTTTTTTATTCTATTCATCCTTAAAGCTCACTTGTGCAAAGTCTTTCAACACTAAGTCACCTTTGAAAGTTTTTTTGTAGACAGAAAAATAAACTCCACAGTTATGTGATGCTTGGATTATGCAAAGTTTGTTGGGTCTCCCAAATAAAAGTTTGTACAAGTGTCCAAGAAACATTTATGTAATCAAAGATAAATTATTTGTATACATCAAAAGTACAAGACAGAAATAGGTATTAAGGTTTTGGTGGCATGAAGCAATAACTGCATCACTTGAGAGGTGAATCTACAGGAGAGTGTGTACTGTAAGTCATTCTAAACAAGTATCAAAAAAGAGACCCCAGGAGGGAATGCTTTAAAATCAAAGCAATTTAAATAATTGATTTTAATCTCATTTTGCATTTGTACTTTTTAGTCATTTTCATAGAGAATGGTTGATTTTCACTGTTTGTAACTGTTAAAACACGTTGATTCACAACTAAATTTAGCCTTTACACTAAATTTGGTGCTTTTTGCTGACCAGAAAGGTATGGTGTATCTACATACATTTACTTAAGGTATTATATTTCTTAATTAAATAAATAATAAGAAATGAACAATGCATTTCTTATTTACTAGAAGATGATTAAGTTTTACTTGTGAATTGTGTCAAGCTCTAATTTGGATGGAAGTTAAAATTCAAATTAAATGCACAAGAGAACATTTCAAAATGATTTCTGTTAGTTAAATAAAACTACCTTAAATGTTCTGGTTACACAAGAAAAAAAGTTTTTCAAAACATAACATGTTTTGCATTTAAAGCTAACTGTTTTATTAAAGCAAAAGAAGTACTATCTGTAGTTAGTGAATTGAACTGGACTAGCTGAACAACCTGACATGAAGAAAACATTCTCTCTACACCTGAAGAAGCTACTGCTATCAAAAGCCGGTGTAGCACTTCAACAAATTCTGGTTCTAGGTGCTTAGCCAGTGACTTCCACCAGTTCAACGCTATGACTTTCTTTAAAACTGCAACTGCAAACATGTATTGATTAATATTAATCCTTTAACAGATTATAGTAAATTTAGGCCTTAAAACATGTAATAATTTCAAATTTTAAATAGGTTTACTTGTAAAAATAAAACTGTTTAAAAAATTAATTACATTTTTATATAATCAATTTTATCCACTTAAAATATAAGATAGTGGGCAGTCTATTCTAAATATGGTTGCAAATTTACAGAAAAATTACAAATATTTTAGAGATTTAAAATATTTAATTGGCACTATGGCTTGTTTGTTTTTCTTTCATCTTTAGCCTACTTAAGATATTTGTATCCTGCCTACCACCAGAAGTCAAAAGGAATCACTCACATCTGTAAAATTAAGCACAGGTAGGATAAGGGCATTAGACTGCAAGGTCTTCAGGGTAGGAATTGTGTCTTTATTCCATGAAAAGCTATGCAATCTTTCACACTTTAAGCTATACATTATAAATGCAAAAACTGAAAGATAAAGCTATTTTAAACTTTGGTTGCTTCATCCAACCACCTACTAAAACTAAACCTTTTAAACATTAGCATAGCAATTGACCAGTTTCTCTTAGCTGAGAGAACTCATCACAGGGTGAGGTCAACTGGGATACTTACAGTTCCTAGAGGCATTCATTAGAACAAGGTGTTCATAGTGAAGGGCTTTGAACAATTCTTTCCCATTTCCCTCCAGCACCACTCTTTAATCCCACAGCGTCCTAGTTTATTTACCTTCAGGACATGTTGCAAAATATCCAGTCTCTCTTGAGTTCGAGTGACGCAGGTGTCCAGTTTTTAATGGACTGGCAAGTATTTTAGTGCTGATGTTGTGTAATCTTAGAATTATATTAGCCTAAATGTGTTTTTAAAAGTGTTCAATTCATGTACTTTGGGTTTGCTAGGCACAATATTTAAGCCTAAACATGATTCAAAGAGAGAGAGAGATTGGGATTCCCGTACATAAGGCTGAAGGCACTACCCTACAGATTTCCACTTACTGCACTTAAGACCTCATCCCTGTGCCCTTCTACTCCTCCAAATATTGCAACCAACGTATCAGTTTGGATGTTCCACAGTCTCAGTGCATGATCTAGAATAAAAACACAGAAGCTGACAGGTTAACCTTTATCATCCATTTGTACCTGAATAAAGTTAATGTAGCCACCTCTTTCAAGAACAGGAATCCCACGGTAGCATTTATAATGCATGAAAAGTATGTTCTTCCATTACTACAAGAAAAAATTGTTTTCAGTTGAATGTTAGTATCATTTTAACACTACTCGAGGTATGGTTGAGAAAGTTTTCATTCTAATGATGAATTCCTACCTAGCCTATTTTCAGGCCTTAAGTCAGAGGTGGGCAAAGCCAGCCCTTGAGCTCCCGGCCGGGGAGGCTGTTCCCCTTCCCCCACAGCCTCAGCTCACAGCGCGGCCAGCATTCTGGTCCGCCGCTCCTGCCAGGCAGTGCGACTGGCTCCAGCCAGGCTGCGAGCTCCTGCTGCTCTGAGTGACATGGTAAGGGGGCGGGGGTTGGATAAGGAGCAGGGGATCCTGGAGGGCAGTCAGGGGACAGGGAGCAGTTGGACAGGCGTGGGAGTCCCGTGGGGCCTGTCAGGGGACAGGGGTGTGGATAGGGGTCAGGGAGCCAGGGGCTTGGATAAGGGGTGGGGCCCCAGGGGGGTTAGGGGCGGGGGGTCCTGGGAAGGAGCGGTCAGGGGACAAGGAGCAGGGGGGGTTGGATGGGTCAGGGGGCAGGAAGTGGGAGGGGGCGGATGGGGGGTGGGGGGCCAGGCTGTTTGGGGAGGCACAACCTTCCCTACCCAGCCCTCCATACAGTTTCGCAACCCAGATGTGGCCCTCAGGCCAAAAAGTTTACCCACCCCTGCCTTAAGCCATTTCCCAGGGGAGGGGAAGGAAAAATACATTTCAGACAAAAGTTAATGTCTCATTCATTCTCAGCTCAATGATGATTTTATATTTTGGAGTGTGCACTAAAAATCCCTTCAGTCATTTGACAGGTTTCAGGGTAGCAGCCATGTTAGTCTGTATCCTCAAAAAGAACAGGAGTACTTGTGGCACCTTAGAGACTAACAAATTTATTAGAGCATAAGCTTTCGTGGACTACAGCCCACTTCTTCGGATGCATCCGAAGAAGTGGGTTGTAACCCACGAAAGC